CTCCCTCCCTCCCTCCCTCCCTCCCTCCCTCCTTATTTCCAAACATTTGGTTTCATTTCTTCCCTCCGTCCCTCCCTCCATCCCTCCCACCCTGCCTCCCTTCCTCTATCCATCCCTCTTCTTGTTTCTGCCCCCCCTTTTAAACTTTTGATAAGATTTTGCTCTCAAGCTCAAATTCACACTATACACAGATTGGTCTTAAACTCATAATTCTCCTACCTCAGCCTCCCAAAGTTCTAGGATTACAGATGCATGCCACCTTGCCTGGTCAGCCATTAATTCCTTAAATTTTAATTTAAACTTTTATTTTTTGAGATTTCTATGAGTATTATAATTATACCTCCAACTCCTTCCAGGTTCCTCCCACTCCCACTGGAATTATTGCCCTCTTCTTTAAATGTGTATATGATACATATGAAATATGTATTTAATTTTGTGTTGTTGATTTCACTTTGGGTTGCTCTATATCTGTGTATTTAGTGCTGACCACTGTGATTGGATAACCCACTGGGGAAGCTGTCCCGAGAGAACACTGACTTTTCCTCTCCTAACAGCCATTAATTGCCTGCAGCTTTTCATCTAGGGATCTGGCATTTTCTCTCCCTTTTTCTCCTCCTCCTCTTCCTCCATGTCAAAGAATAAGTATATTGGTCTGATAAATGTTATCACCTAAGTTCATTAGGGCCCATTCACAGTTTTTCATTCAATTTTCATTTCTTTCCCTTAAGGTAGATAACTTTAAATGATCATTTTCAAGTTCATTTATTGTCCCCTTTGTCTAGTACATCTGTTGTGTGCATATATATTGCACATGTGTATGTGACATCTATATCTATCTTTATATCTATGTGGACACACGCACACACACACACACACACACACACACACACACACACACACACACGTTCTTTGATCAAAGTCCTCCTAATATCCTGTCACCTCTTTCTCCTTTCCATCAAATCAAGCCTCGCCCTTTCCCCCTCTTTTTGGTTTGTGGTTCTGAGCATCCAACCTAGGGCTTGGTACATACTAGGAAAGTTTGAAGTATTTTCTACTGGATTATGTTCCGAACTTCCGTGTTTCCTTTATTTGTGTGTGTGTTTTCCCATGGCTTTTGGTTGAACAATAGGCATTTTAAAAAATCATCTTTCCCCGTTTCTGCAGATGGTCAGGGAAGGCCTTCACCAGTTGATGGGGTTTTGAAATTAGAGGACCAGCCCAGGATGCAGATATACAACCTCTCATATTTTCTGGACATATATCCTATTCATACCATCCATCTTCCACCCAAACCCTGATTTTCTTTACAAGTCATCATATCCCCAGAAGTCTCGTTGCAGTTTCTTCTAGGATGCTTGTCAGAGTCTTTGGCCCATGATTCTATTGCTTCTGTCAATCACAATCTGTAGTCTTCTTTCTGTTGACACGCTAATGCCATTGCCTTCTTCAGCTTCCAGCCTGGGTTCTAAGTCATCTGAGATAGAAGCCACTCTACCAGACAGTCCAAAGATAGACCATTGTCTTCATTTTTTACTTCCATTCTGGGGGCTGGAAGTGGAATTTGAGATGCTTTCTCTTAACCACACCGTGCTGCACACAGGGCAGGGCTGGGGCCAAGGCTGAGTATCAGTATGACAGATTTCCCACTGTCACTTGTAGTGGCTTCCTGATTGGTGATCATGACATTTGTTTGCTTTGGTCTTAGACTGGTTTCCAGCATTGCTCTAGTTAGTCTGTGGTTGTTTGATATTTCCACAGGAAGACATGGCCTGATGGTCCATGGTCTGATGGTGTCACTCCCAGTTACACACAGAGTCTATTGAGATTCTTGTTCTCAGTACAATGTGCTACTTGTAATTTGTGATGGGTGTAAGTTTAGATATTATGGTCCCTGCTGCCCACTTAGCTTCTGTTTATCTCTTTTCCCCAGTATAAGCATGGGGGACCTATCATTGCGGTGCAAGTGGAGAATGAATATGGTTCCTATAACAAAGACCGTGAATACATGCCTTACATCAAGAAGGTAAGACTCACTACATTCATGTTTTCACATTCCTTCCTCTGAACTATATTATATACTCTGTCATGCTGCCCTAGTACTTTTCTCAAATTAATACACCATGTCTTCCAACACCACTCATTAATTAGTGTAATGTTCTCTGTGGCTCATCTCAGCAGACCTGTCACTCACTTACCCTTTATTGATTGAGTTTAGCGGGATAGCTACGATGCACATCCTGTGTGCAGGGACTAAGAAGAAAAAGATTGTCTTAATTAAATGGAGGTGATAAAAGCTTTGTGGAACGTCTGCCTCAGCCCAGCATAAAGACAGATTTGTGGATGCACATGGATTTTATTGAGGAAATGGAAAAATGAAACAAAACAAATAATAAAAAACAACCAAACAAACAAAACCACCCTGACCATCTACACACTGTCCTCATTATAAAGATTTCTGGGGTGGTGCTCGGACATTGGATCGTGGAGTGAGTGAACTGCAGATTCACTTGCAAGACAGATTGAAAAGGATGGTGGGGTGACAGCGAAGAGAGGCCTGGCATTCACTTCTGTTTCTGTTTTTGTCTTTTCACTTGGTAGTTGAGGTTTTGAACTAATATCCCAGTTTCCCTAAGCCCCCCTTTTCTGTTACACAAAGCAGGCTAAAAGGAGTGCCTGCATCTTTTGGATTATGTGAAATTGGGTGGTCGAGCACTGTCAGAAATATACAGTAAGCCGTCAGCAAATGACTTTGACAGAGTCATTGGCATTTGTTTCAGTGTACCCTGGAGGGCTGGCCATGGTGTGACTGAGGAAGTAGGAAGTGGACTCTGGATCTGTGTGACTAGGTGACTTTGGTTCAGGTGCTCTGGACAGCGTGTCTGCTGCTTCCAACCCTAGTTTAACTTTCCATCTAGAAATTACTTTTGTTCTCACAGACTGGAAGAAGAAGTCTGTGAAGAAGACTGGAAGAAGAAGTCTGAGACTAGAAATAGAAGTTCAGGTGCTTCTATTTCTAGTCTCAGACTCCCTTGCCCCTCCTTCTTACTTGAGGAGAGTTCTCTGCAGGGTACCAGCTGTCTGAGAAGGGTGACATTCCTCCAGCTGGAAAGGGGTGGTCAGTCCTTGTCCACATCCTGGACAGAGGACCTGTCTAACTTCCTTGTTTTGCATCACCTAGAAAAAGCCAGGCCTCGACTCCAGAACTTCTTCTGCTGCAGGCCTCTGGCAGGCTCCCTGGGGCACGGGTGCCTTTCCAGCACTTGTTTATCAATGATGCAGCTGCAGGCGAGAGCTCTGAGGAGCATCAGGAGTAGAGAGTCGCTCCTTAGGGGATCTTGTCTATACAGCCTTGCCTCCCTGGTGCCCAGAGCTCAGCCTGAGGAGGCTCCTGGGAGGATCCTTTCCTGAACTGCTATGCAACTTCTCCTGGGCATGTTGGCAAGATGTGCATCCTGATGGCATTGAATGACCTTGGGCATGACCTCCCTCAACTCTTTGAGCCCTTGCAAAATGGACACAAAATTGCCCTTTCCTCAGGCTTCTGTGGGAGGAGGGTATGCGCTCTGTGCTTGGCAGGTGGCTAGCACTTAGGAAATAGTAATTGGCCTATAAAGGGCAAAATAAAAAAAATAATGTCTTTAAAATTTAAGGGTATAGAAAATTCTGTATCAGTGAGTCAGGGCTTTAAGTAGCGATCTCAGCAATATTCCTCAAGGATTTAATGTTCCAGCTCCAGGCATCGCTGAGACTTGGGGCCCCTCCTGTTCTGTCCTCACAGAACATGGGAACTGGCATTTATTGTTAGATGTTCCCCTTTCCAGAAGAATTCAGTTGAAATAAATAGTCTTATCATTGTAAAATTACCTTTGTAGAATTGTATGAGTCCAAAGGCCTAGAGTGGAGCCTGTGTGGATGGACAGGTTTTGAGCTCAGCACCATCTCTCCCATGGCCTCTGTAAAAGATCATAGTCCAATCAGCTTGTCTGTGTTGTTCAGATGTTGGCTATGAAGAGTGAAGGAGACAGTCCACGTGCTTAGCATCATGGCTAATGTTTTCATGTTAGCAGCTCTTCTGAGTGGCAGCAAGCCTACTGCTCCTCCAGCAGTGGGCTTTATTTATGTCCTTCAAGGAATGCTTCCAGCTCTGGGCATGGACAGTACTCTATAGGCATGCCACTGAGGTATGGCTGGGCTATCATTCATTGCTCTTGCCGTTGACCAAGCTCACACTGGCTCAGAGTGGGGAAGAGACAGGCTGCTTGTTCATGCTGTGGATGAAGGGGAAAGTATAGTGTCTCCCTGGTGACTGACCCTCTCAGTGGAGTTCCTCAGTCAGTTGCAGTGTGATGGCATGGCATCTCCCCCCCCTGAGCCAGGCTCTGAATAAGCTTGTGTGTGTCCTCAAACTGATCAGCCCTACAGAAGCAACCAAGGCCTTCCAGATCTAAGCAGGCACGTCCTCTGTCACACTTGAAAGCAAGCAGTTATTGGAACTTGGTTGAATATCGTAGGCATAGATAACTCGCAGAGAAGCACGTTGGCTAGGTTTTCCTCTCTTGCTCTGTAGACTACCTCAGCTTCAGCAGTGACCCTGTAGGAGCTCTGAGTCACGAGAACAGATCTTTTTAATTGGATATTTTATTTATTTACAATACAGATGTCATCCCCTTCCCCTCCCTAGAACCCCCATTTCATCCCCTCCTCTTCCTTTATGCTTTTATGCCATTTTGATTACATGCATGTATTAAGGTCAGTTCTAGGTTGAGGGTCTAGCAATACAATAGATGCAAATAGTCAAGGAGCAAGCAATACAATAAACACAAATAGCCAAAGAAAAAGCAAGGCATTAAACCCAATTACTGTGATCACTGTTTCTAAGGGCTTATCAGAATGACCAAAGTATCCGAGCCCACTTCCCTGTCATAGCCCAAGGTCATTTTCATGTCTGAAGCCTACTTCCTTGTTCTAGCCTAAAACTTAGATTCCTGCCTGAAATTACTTCTTTGTTCTAGCCTAATATTTAGATCCTGCCTGAAATTACTTCTTTGTTCTAGCCTAATGTCAGATTCCTGCCTGAAGCCTACTTCCTTGTCCTTGGCCAATGTCATATTCCTGCCAAGCAGCCCATTTCCTTGTCCTTGGCCTATGTCAGATTCTTGCCAAGCAGCCCCAAAGGCTCTCCACCTCTCTCCCTTTTTTATTTCATTAACAAGACTGAGCCTGTCTTAGGTTGACAAGAACAGATTTTTAACGTGTCTTTATCCCCTAAACAGGCTTTGGAAGACCGTGGCATCATTGAGATGCTCCTGACCTCAGACAACAAAGATGGCCTAGAAAAGGGAGTCATCGATGGAGGTACTCGGAGGAGGCCACCTGCTTGACTCTTGTACCCACCTCCCTGGGCATGGTCTGAGATATAAACAGGGGTTGTTTTTGTTGCCCGTATTGTATAGCATGGGGCTTGGCCCTCTGGGTAGTAGGGGTAATAGAGTGCACACACACCCCTAGCTCTTTTCTTTTTAGCAAACACCTTACCAAAGATCTTCCAAACACCCGAGTACCAGGCGAGCAGTATTTGTTCGGTGTTCTTGCTAAGTTGATAGCACTGCAGGTGGCTGCCCCCATCGGCCAGTTTCTGTTTATTGGAGAAATCCAGCTCCATTTCCTTCAAGTACACCAGGCTTGCAGTTTTTCTGAGCCCTGTCCTGCCAGACACAGCAGCCAGTGGATGCATCCTTTCGCTTTTCCATTTTTTAAAAATTAATTTTTACTGTTTACTTTACATCCCACCCACTGCCTCCCCCAGTCACCCCCTCCCACAATCCTTCCCCCATCCTTGCTCTCCTTCTCCTCTATGCAGGTTCCCCACACCCCCATATCCCTCCTACCATGGCACTTCAAGTCTCTTCCAGGCTAGGCGCTTCCTGCCTTTACTTTTCACTTTAAAATATATTCGGAACTCAGATGTGGTTCGCTGCTTCACCGTTCGAATCCTTCCCACCTGCAAGGCTGCAGTGTTCCCACCGACTTCTCTCACTTCACTGAACCCTCCAGCAACCTTTTCTCGATGCAACAATCTCTGCCTGAGTATGAGAATGTAACCCTGGAGTCGGGTCTGGGGCACACCCCTGCAATCCCAGCACTAGGGATGGGTGGCTGTGAGTTTGAGGCCAGCCTGGGCTACATAGTTCCAGGCTAGTCAAACTACATAGCAAGACCTTGTGTCTAAGAGCCAAGGGAACAGCCCAGATCATCTTCATCTACTTCCATATGCTCCCTAGAGACAAGAGAGATGTACACACTCTGAGAATGGCTGCACACAGCTCCTTACACAGCAACAACCCCTGCATGCCCCTTCACTCTTCCCTCCCACAGCCCCCCCCCATCCCTCCCATAGCCCTACACATGACCCTGAGTACACCCTGGCAGCATGCCTCAGTCTCCACACACACATGACCATCTGAGCTCACTTGCAAGTGCCTCCTGTTTCCCACTCTGTTCTACCCTCCTGGCTCCCATTCTGGTCCTCAAGTACCCAGAACACCCTCGGATTCTGTGACTCTGCACACCGTTAGGGAGTCTGCAAGGATTCCTCTCTGGTGGTCTTCGCAGTGAGGCTTTCTCTGAGCTTCCTGCTAGCACATGCACTCCCTCGCAAGGCCCAGCCCACTCTTCTGTCTCCATTTTCCGTCTTAACCTTTGGAATAGCTCACTTTGTTTACTGCTCTACCTCACAGCAGCTCTGTGGGCCTCCGGTTGTCTCATATGGTCTGTGCTTGAACATGTGCTCACCTGCAGTTGGTGCACAGGGAGATTATGTCCTCCTGCAAGTCCTGGTGTGAGTCTTTCTGGGGGCCGTGCTTCTCTGACAGCACCTCCGTGTGTCTGTTTTGTTTGCTTTGTGTTCCCTCTCTAGACTGACCTGTTTGTAGATGGGGCTTTTATCTTGCTATCCCTTTCACAGTATCTGGCTTGGTTACTTCTGGGAATGACTGATGTTGTAGATTGAGAGGAGAAGGCTCTTATCTACAGCAAGCACAGTGAATGAAAAGGCATTGGTTCTCCTTGGAGGTGACAAAGATCAATAGCGATTCCTGTTACTCCCACAAGGTGGCAGCGTCTACTCATGTTTATTACCAAGGCCCAGATGAAGGGACTATGGGGCATGAGGCAGTCAGTCTGTGAAGGCCTTAGAAGATGCTCCGTCTATTTGCACCCATCCTCTCCTGCAGGCTCTAATCCTGGGGTCCCTGAAACCACTGCTGCCTAAAATGATGATTTTTTTTTTAATTGAAAAAGTTAAAACATTCACTCACATGACCTGTCTGTACAATGATAATGATGATAATGATGGTAATAATAATAGTAATAGTAATAATAATAATGATAATCTTATCAAGAAATAATCTTCCTCCTCATCCAATTCCCCAGAAACAGCCATCTCAAACTGTAACCTTTTCCTCCAACTTTCCCGTTTCTATACAACTTGTACATGCAACTCTACGTCTGTTGTTTTAGGATTCTGAAGCTGCCCTCTGATGCTGAAGTGGATGGTTGGGGTTCCTCTGGTCTCACACACCTTCCTTTTCTTGCTAGTACAGTTCAGTGCTGATATGCATTTTGGCTGCAGGACTACTGGGTGGGGCGTGCTGCTTTACAGCATGAGAATCAGGTAGTCAGTCTCACCTTGAGTGGATGCACGATCCCATCTGATTTTCTTGTCACCTCAGAAACCCTGCCCCTTAAACCCCTGTCCCTGCCTTCTCTTTTCTTGCTTTGTTATGAGTTTGTTCTCAAACTCATGATGCTTTTGCCATGACCCCCTGGGTAATGGCATGATGGGTCTATGAGCATGTATCATGCATGGAGCCCAGTCTCACTTCTGTCTTCAGCCTTATCTCTCCCCATTTCTCTTAGAAACTCTTGTAACAGAGGCCTCCCAAGCTCCCATCCTATGCTTCCTTTGTTTTAAAACACGCTACCTGTTTCTTTTATTAGTTCTGCTTGCCCTGACTTTCTGTTACTGTTCTTCCCAGTGTTTGCTGGGAGATGGAACTGTGGAGATTGGTAGACAAGGGGAACAGGCACCCTTTCCTGTGGGGATAGTGGAGCTATGAGGATTATGAACATGAGGAAACTCACATGTCAGTGTCTAGAAATGCCATGCCAATTTTTTGCCCACATATAGAAGCAGCCTCTGGCTTCTTGCACAGATGTTGGAGGAACAGATGTGAGGACTGGGCAGGAGCCTCCATGCTCGGGGACCCCCTCGAGTCTTCTCTCTACCTCTCACCCCCGTGCTCATAGAGGATTGTTTTCTAAGAGCATGTGAGCCCCACTGAAGGAATAGGCTCTAGTGCAAAGGAAGCTTGACTACAGGGCTGGGAGGATGCCTGTGGCCAGAGGGGGTTCCCTTCAGAGTGGAGGAAGGACTTACCTGGGATCTGAAAGAAAGAACCAAATCTACCCTCCTGTCCCCTGCTGGTCCTCCATGGATTTTACCTTCCCAGGGTTCCCTCAGCACTTTGCCTTTGCTCACACCCATTCTGCATTTTACTTCTTACACTTGAATTTGATGTGGTGTCGGGATGTCATGACAGCTGTCTGCATTCAGCTAGCTCCATGCATTGGGTTGACTTTGAGCTTCAGGGTCTTCCCCTGTGGGTTGCTGGAGGACAGTGACATCAGAGGCTTGGTGTGAAGGGGCCTGAGTTTGCAACCCTACTCTGCCGCTCACAGATTATGGACCATGAGGGAAGTCTCTGTACCTTCAGAGCCTTAGCTTTGTTTTCTTCAGTGGTGAGCATGGCCTGATATCCTGGATGATAGCTGGGGCTGGCCATCCTGCCTTAGTTACTCTTAAGCTCATTCATCTGACACTGGCCATTCAAATGAATAGTAAGCAGGCAAGGGGCCTTGGAATCAAATTCTCCAGCTGGCCATGACTGTGGCAGGGTCATGGCCATCAGCTATCGGTAGCATTTTTCTTGAGCATGTATTTTGCTTATGGAAAACTGTCTGAAATACTGGTTAAATTTTTTAACATAAACACATTATGGAACAGTAGACAGTGTGTTCTTACCAAGAAATTCGACATGAGCCTTCATTTGTTGCCCTTGGTGTACCAAGGCTTTGCCTTTGCACTCAAGTGCAGTGTAGCGCTCAGGCTCTGGTTCCTATGACAGTAGTTCAGATAAGACTTTCCTCTGCAACATTACAGTCAGTAAAAATCAGATGCTAACTTTCTGGCTTTGCTCTGCATTGAACGGTGGAGTTTCTAAGAATAACAATATAGGGAAGTCTTTTGGCATCACCAGAGCTAATTTCTAATGGAAGGTGGGAAAATGTCTATACTAGCTTCTTTTCATGCTGGTAGATTAAAGATTTGTATAACTCAGAAAGTCTCTGTGACTCCAAGACTATGCTTTTTTTTTTTCCTTCTCCACTGCCTTCCTAGTGCTGGCCACCATCAACTTACAGTCTCAACAGGAGCTGATGGCACTGAACAGTGTTCTCTTATCTATACAGGTAGGTCTGGCCTAAGGGATGCTGGGGATCTTCTAGCTTGAGGGCAGGGATTCCACATGCCTGCATTGATCCCAGAGATCTGTGATGGGGAAGAGGACTCCTAGTTCTTCCAGTCTCTTGGTTCATCCACATTGCCTCATGGATGGGAGGGAAGCAGCTTAGAAACCCTGCTCTAAAGTGTTGCTGTATAGACTGACACCATCCAAGTGTGTTGAATTCTTTTGGTAAGGGCACCGTTTGAAGCTTTTGGCTTTTATGGACTCCACAAACCCCAGAATTTCTTTGAGATATTGATAGAGAAAAACCTCTCTATCTTGTACTGTAAAAGGCATCTGGCCTCAACCTTTAAGGCTTCATTGGCATTGGACATGTGTCTGTTATCCATAAGACAGGAGGCCTGGTTGATTCCAGGTCATTAAATGAGAGAGGTTTCTGGGTGTATTTCGCCTTCCTCAGACCGATGGTTACACATAGTCCTATTCCAGTTGATGTCTCTAGTTTGTGTGTCTCATTAAACAGGCAGATGTGATTGAGGCTCAGCTAGCTCATTTCATCCAGGCTTACTGAAAGGTGTGAATGCCCCCACCAATTGCATATCTGCCGTGGTCTTCAGCCTAGATGGAAACTGATAGAGTCTATTGACAATGGATAGGTGCCTGAAGGGATACTGGGCCAATGGTGTGGGATCATTTGTGGTCCACTGAGTAGACTGTTTTTTCCAGCCATTGGCCTTTCAAAGTAGGGATGATATCCTCAGGTATACTCATGACAGGTAGTACCCTGTAACATGAGTATGTGTATATGGTGTGGCTACAGCGGAGATGGAGGTCAGAACAGGTGCGAAGGCTCCTAGGAGGAGGGCAGGTCTTATCTCTGGTAGACTCTCCAGTGGGAAGGACTATGCATATACATGTGTGTGTTCAGGTGGAAACCTCTTTTCTCATCTTCCTTCTTACAGTATGTCCTAGGTCTGTTCTCTGTCTCTAGAGGTGTCTGGTCTCTCTTACCTCACAACTGACCATAGGACCTCTGTCTTATGGTGTCTGTAATCTACTTGGGAAGAGAGGCTCATGATACATGGTCTCAAAGTGGCTAAGCAGAGTTGCAGTTGAGTCCTGCCAAGGGAAGTACAGATTCTGGGGGCTGCTCAGTACCCACTTGATCACTCTATTGTGAGCCTGTGGAGACACCGCTTGGGCTCCTCAGTGTTTCTGTTTTGCCTTTAGTTGTGTGAGTATAATGAGAACCTTTTCTTGCGTAAGGCAATATTTGAAGAGGACCTCACCGTACTGGTGATGGAAAGAGCATCTGCTGCTGATCTCTAGACAACATGCCATGTCAGTGCTATTAGACTGGCTGTCATCAGCAGAATGGCACCACTGAAGTACTTTCTTGTATAGTCTATGACGTCTGGCGTCTGCCCTTACTTAAAGAAGTGGTTTTGTCTGAAGGGCTTCGTTGAATGGACACTACAGACTCCAGCACTGGTTAACTTTGGAGTATCCATTAGTTCTTAAATATATGCTTAGTAAGGAAGATAAGTCATGCTAGAAATTTTTGAGTAATTCCTGTATACCAGAAATATATATGCAACCTTTCATCTAGTTCTCCTAGTGAGCATGAGTGCTAGCTACTGTTACTGGTATCCATGGTCTAGGAGATAGACAGAAAAATAATTGAAGTACTCAGAAGATGGTCATTTTGGGATTGGTTGTACCATATTTTGCAGGAAGACAAGTTGGTCCATGCTGGACATTCACCATCCGCTCACCACACCATAGACGCTCTTAAGCAAATAAGCCCACTGTTGGCCCTGGAGGTTTTGAGACTTAATACTTAGACTCTACTTCTCCCTTTTGGGTGACTAGATGTGTTTGTAGTATGGCCTATCTTGAGATGTAAAGAAAAACCAAGCTACCAGCTTGCTCAAAACAAATCTTGTGGCTATGTTGACTTTTCCTCAGGGATAGTTGTTACTTTCTATGCCATGAACCACTAAGTATGCCCCATCTCTCTGGAACATGTTCTGTTGCGTTTTATGGAGTTTCAAATGTCAGGAAAGTCCTGAGAGAGGATACTTAATCAGCTGTCTCTGAGTAAATGAGGAATGCTTCCTGGCTCAGAGCCTAAAATCTTAGCAGATGAGTCTTTCACACATGCCCAGGTATTTACAGCTTTTGCAAACATGGTGGAGCCAAGCACAGTCCCAGAATGATCCCTGTATGCATGGAGAAGGCAGACGTCACCTCGGTAGTCTGAAGTGACAATTAAGACTTGTTCAGTATCCTGGGCAAGGTATGAATCCAGAGTGCAGCTGCAGAGCTTGTACCATGAGTAGCTAAGCTGCTCTCCTGGGATCTGAGTCTCTGTTTTAGTTTTGTAAACTGCTGTTTAAGCCAGAACTTAAAGAAACCCACTCTGAAGCCTGCTGGCCTCCACATACAGAGAAGCAGTGACTTTGGTTTGTCTGCACCCATGGCATCGTGCTCAGATTTACTCGTCTAGTTGGCAAAGGTTGTCTTAAGCCAGAATGCAACCCAACCAATGTAGTAAAGGGCATTCAAATCAGGTGATTAGTTCTGATAAAAGCTTAGTTTGAGCAGATACTTATGTTTTCTTGCTAGTATCTGCCATATGCAGCATCAAAAGCATATTAAACATCAACTCTGGTAGTGTCTTCCCTTTTATCCCAGTAGGTGGTGAGGTCACATTGTTGTTGAGGAATGGTCCATGCTGTGCACCTACAAGCCTCTTAGGCAAGAGGTGGATGGCCATGGAGGACAAAAATATGGAGTTCTGTTCAAGAACAGTGCCATCTGTCCTTTTTGATCAGCCTGCCTGCCTAATTCTCATTTTGTGGTACCCAGGGGATTCAACCCAAGATGGTGATGGAGTACTGGACAGGGTGGTTTGATTCATGGGGTGGCGCCCACAATATCTTGGATTCCTCTGGTAAGTGTTTTACTTTGCCTACACCTAATAGTTATGGTGACAATTTGTAAGAATGTGTTTTGCATCTCCTGGCATTGGGTATGGAGTTGTAGGATGCTGAGTTCTCAGGATCATTTGTATTCAGATTCAGCTCTTGGTACTTCTGAGACTTGACACTTGAAATAACAATAGGGCCTTCCTCATTGCTTTTCTGTGATTTTGTAAGTAGAAAAGTAACACATGTGTATCGTAGATATCTAGGAAATGTAGGAAAGTTTAAAGAAGAAATAAGTCCCTGAGTCTAGAACAAGCATGCTGATATATTTAACAGTAAAGGCAGCAATTAATGTAACGTCATCTATGTACATACAGATAGAGCTAGAGATAGATTGATCGCATCTTCACACATATACACACACCACACACCACACACACACACACACACACACACACACACACACACACACACACACCATCCTATACTATTGAACATAGGAATGCTTGGTGTACTCAGATATTTCTGTCTTAAAGAATTTGAAGAGCTCCATTGTATTGATGACTAAACCACCATTTAGTGACCCAGTTCTTTAGTGATTGCTTAGTTTTGGCTTTGGTTAATTGAATACCATCTAAACAAGCATCCTTGAAGTTTTGTTGGGATATATTTTCTTATGATAAAGAATAAATTATTGTATCAATACAGTTTTAATATATGTATTTATCACTGTCCTGTAGACTGTAGCAGCCTACTGGCAATTATAAAATGAGAATAATCATTTCCTGCAGATTCATCAGTACTGAGTATTAAAATAATTTTTTAAATTTGCCAGTTCACTAGATCAGTATTAAGTTTACATTTATTGGATATATCATTCAAATATATAATAATTGACCTTTTATTTTGTTACCTGATACTGTCTTTGTATTTTGTTGATTTGCTTTCAAGTTAAGGGAGGAATTAGGGACACAGGTAGGACTGATGTGTAATGGGGTCCCAGCTTTGTTACATTTCCTTGGGACAGAATAGCCACTAGGAAACATGCTATCTGGTAGAGTGAAAACAGCCTATGTACTACTACAGATTGTCCAGAGAAATCTGAATGACCCAGTAATGAGTGACCTGGTGGGGACTGGAACAAGGGGCTTAGTTGGGGCTTTCCTTAGGCTTCGAATCACTGTAAACATCCCTTCTTTCTGCTCTCTCCTTGAAGAGGTCCTGCAAACAGTGTCTGCCATCATCAAAGACGGCTCCTCCATCAACCTGTACATGTTCCACGGAGGTACAAATTTTGGCTTCATAAATGGAGCCATGCATTTTAATGACTACAAGGCTGATGTTACCAGCTATGGCAAGTATCCTCAGTGGTTCTCCCTGGTCCTCTCCAGTGTCTGTAGGGCTGGCACTTCTGATGGAGAATCCTTTAGAGACAGTTTTTCAGACCTTTCATGTCTTTGGCTATGTAATATCCAGGGAAGATAGAGACTTTGTCTGACTATTACCTCTAAACTTCCAGAGTAGTAGGGCCTGTGAACAGCTTGTTGAAAAAGCTGTTTGGAGGAGCAAGGGGAGGCAAATCTAGAGTAAGAAGGATGGGGACAGACTTCCCCTCTGTCAGATCCTTGGGAAAGTGTGATCTTGGCCCTCTGCGAGTTCTCAGGGAGTTGAAGAGATGTTCCATTATATCTGCTTGCAGTCAGAAATAGAGTATCATGCTGTGCTCATGGGTACTTTGGTAGTACTTAGTACTTTTCTTAGCTTGATTGGATGGTTCATACTAAAGGTGTTTCTCTTCAAAATTGCTGGTTTGAGAACTATGTTCTTCTCTTCCGAGTTCCTCTTCCTCCTTTTTTTTTATTTTCTTCATCCTTTTGTACTCTTCTGGGGACAGAGAACCTGAAGGGTCCATGGGTGTTTTGCAGACTATGATGCTATATTGACAGAGGCTGGAGACTATACTGCCAAATATACCAAGCTTCGAGAACTCTTTGAAACCTTCTCAGGTACAAACAAGGAACAGATCAAACATCCACTTGGGCCCATGCTTTTGCTATGAGCCCTTAGAGTTTCTGCCATCTTCCTATCCTACCTCAATTCTAGCTAATCCATATTTAAAAATGTCCTAGTCTACTATGAAATGTTTCTCTGTGCATGCACAAGGCCCTGTGTTCCACCTAGCCCACTGCCAAAAAACAAATAAGTAAATAAGCAAATGAGTAAATAATAAAACCAATATTCTAGACAAAGAAGGTTTGAGAGATTATTGTCATCATTCTGTGCTTTTTGTATTTGACTCATGCTAAGCCTATTTATGCCATATAGAAGACACAAATAAGCCCTGCTCTTGTCCAGGCCCCATGTTCTAGAGTAATTTAAGCTCTGAGTAGGGCCTGTGGTTGATCTGGGTGGCAAGATGAAAGGAGCACATGGGACTGTGGGTATGAGGCTGGAGGAGGTAATGATGATTGAATCTTTAAGGGAAGGCCATGATTCCTGTTGCAGGTGTTCCTCCACCTCCTCCACCTGAGCTTACTGCTAAGATGGTCTATGAGCCAGTGAGTCCATCTTTCTACCTATCACTGTGGGATGCTATCCAGTACATGGGTAAGGTAAGTGCTGCAGCCTGGGTATCAGGTATAGTTACTAAGTAGACAGGACCCAGGAACTTTCCCAATGGGATCCCAGGATGAGCAAACCCACTAGTGGCATTGAGGTCTCTAGCCAACCAAAGAACTGAGTGAAGAGAATACATTGGTGCTGGAGTGGGAATTGGGAAGAAATAGAAGGGCTTGAACCTGGTGTCTCCCCTCTAGCCTCAGGAGTAGGCCTTTCTGTAGGTCATGGGTAGGGTGAGGAGCAGAGGAAGGACTAATCCTTCCTTTGTGAAAAGGAAAGAGGAAAGCCGCTACAGTTCATTCTGTTGTGACACTGGCTTAAGGATTCCATGATATGATGGTGGCTTCAGGATTCTGGTAGATTGTAGGACTCTAGTGAAATCTCATTTTTCCTGTTGTCCTTATTTATGCCTCTGGGGAGTCATTAGTTTAAGCTAGTAATAAGGTAGAATAGAGAAGAAGAGGTTAGAGCATCCTTACATCCTGTCCCTGATACCCTTGCTGCTCATGTGAAAACTTAGAGTTAGGAGCTGCTTGATTCCTGTACCTTCTTGTGTCTCCTTATGTAGCCAGTCACATCTGAGATACCCATCAACATGGAGAACCTGCCAGTAAACAATGGTAATGGGCAGGCCTTTGGGTATGTTCTGTATGAGACCACCATCTTTTCATCTGGTGTCCTTAGTGGCCTCGTGCGTGACAGAGGACAGGTAGGAGCATCTCCTCAGAATTCATGGAACTTTGTGGTGACAGGGCATGTCAGTTTATTTTCTGCCTTCAAGATCAGCTGTTGGCTGTCTGTAGTTCACTCAGTCTTTCCCTCATACCCATGGTGTTCATTGTCCTCCACATCTGGCAAGCACCTTCCTAAGTACTCCCAGCCATAGATGTTCTCTTTTTTAACAGAGGCTCTTTTCCCTCCTGTTCACTGTGATTTCCATCTTCTCCCTTTGGCAGGTCTTTTTGAATAGAGTATCCATAGGATTCCTGGACTATAAAACAACGAAGATCACTATCCCCTTGACCCAGGTTTGTTATCCTAGGGATCTGGGTGATGGCTAGGGAACTTGGTAGGAGTCAAAGGAGGAAGACCAGGAAGCCAGGAGATTTCTTAAAAACTGGAAAGAGAAGGGCACACATAGCTTTCTGACCAGTTGGGGGCTCTCACTCCCTTTCTTAGAGCATAGGGAATGACTGGGAACACAGATTCCCAGGTATAGCTGAGTTATCAGGTGGTGATAACTGGCCACTTGTGTTCCTGGCAGGGTTACACCATACTGAGGATCTTGGTGGAGAATCGTGGGCGAGTCAACTACGGAAATAATATTGACAGTCAGCGCAAAGGTGGGTCCTAGTACAGACCAGGAGAAAAGCCACTCTTCAGACCTGTCTATCTGTTCACCATCGAGTACATTAACAGCCACAGGGGCCCACTGAGGGAGGTGGCTTATGGAGGCCTACTGCAGGGAGGTGGATCTTGGGGACCCACTGCAAGAGAGGCAATTCATGGAGGTATTTGAAGGGAGATGGTGCCTGGTTTATTTAGAAAGGCTAATGGGTGTCCTGGCTAATGGGTCAGGAAAGTTTGGCCACTTTCCCTTTAGTGCTTTAGAACTGTATGGTGCTTGTGTTCCTGGAGGAACTTACAGATGCCCTCTTCATCTTTCTTTCTACTGAAATTTACTTTGGTGAGAGTGGACCTCTCTGCTTTTAGGGTTATGAGTAAGGAGCAAGGAATGGGAATATCTTGGAGTCCATGGAAGTGTATAGGACCCCTGACTTCTTGGGTCGTCACACTGAATTTCTGTTCTTCACCTCCCCCAGGAAAACTGAGGGAATAGGCAATGCTCCTGGGCCCAGGAGGAAGCCAGACATACAATGAGCAAACTGTATGATGTTGCTACATGCTCACCGTCTAGATGTCTTTAAATTTATCTTAAATCTTAGGTTGAATGGCGAGTTCCTTGCTGAGTCACCAGGTCTCTTTGTCTGAGGCCCTCATAATACCATAAAGTTAGGCTCTCTGTTGCCACTTAGCCAGATACAGCTTTCCCTTGAAAGAGGCCAGAAACCAGATGTTACACACTGACATCTCAGCTCTGTCACTGTCCTTGGATATACTGTTCTTCATGACAAATTCTATGGCTTGATAGTGGTCTTATCTCTTGCTACACTTTTGAAATCTCCAGGGAGGCTTTAGTCCAAGTGCAGAGTACTTTAAACTGCACATGCTTTAGGAAAGATTCTTGCTTCATCTTTTCCTGGCTCATCCACACATGCCCTTGCTGCAGCTGTGTCACCCGTGTCCTGATTAGGGGCTTGCTCATCTTTTTGCCCACTCTTCCTAGGTTTAATTGGAAATCTCTATCTGAATAATAAACCCCTGAAAAACTTCAAAATCTACAGCCTGGATATGACAAAGCAGTTCCTTCAGAGGTGGGTCTCTGTGCGTCTGGTGAGGTCATAGCTAATATGTAGCAAGAGCCAGGAATACCCTGGCCTCCCAGAGGCCACAGTGACCTACCTAAGAAGAGGGGTGGGACACGCAGTGGAACCTGTGTTTACAAATTTGGAAATGCCCATTTTGGTATCTGGCTGCCATCCTATGACCTGCTTGGGTGTAGGTGGTCTTGGGGTCTTGTTGTGGGTAGGGATGTGCCATGGGAATTAGATGCAAGCCTGGAAGCAGATGTGAGAGATAGTCCTTCCTTCCTTTTTCTGCTTACATCCTGTCCTTAGGTTCGACATGGACAAGTGGAGCATCATACCCAAAGAACTTACCTTTCCTGCTTTCTTCCTGGGTGCCTTGTCAGTTGGCATTTACCCTTCTGACACATTTCTGAAGCTGGAGGTTTGTAGGATGCCTTTCCTCTCCTGTTCTCTCATTTTCTTAGGGCTCTGAGCCAAGCTGACTTGGATAGAGTTTTCTGTAATACCTGGGCCAGAAACCTTCAGGTCTTTCTCTATGACCCCATATGATAGGGATCCTGTGACATCTCTATGTCAGAGTGGGCTCAAAGCTGAAGCACCTTGTGGTGTGTGTGGGTTCCTATGGACAGTCTGAGGTTGATTACCCTGCTTTGGAGGCACAGCAGTGGGGTGGGTTGACCTTCATGGATGTCTAATGTTGGTTCACTTTGGTCTCTCAGGAACATGGTCTGTTTCTCACTTTGGGGCACCCGTGGTAAAGCGAGACCTTCCCTGTTTTATTTGAAGGGCTGGGTGAAGGGGGTTGTATTCGTCAATGATCACAACCTTGGACGCTACTGGAATGTAGGACCTCAGGAGACTCTCTACCTCCCAGGTGTCTGGCTGGACAAAGGACTCAACAAGGTGGGAATACTTGTAGACTCCCTCCTTTTTCCTTGAAACTGTCTTCCCATCCCTGCTCCCCCTGCTCTCAAGTTGCTTCTCTGCCCCTGAAATGCTTGACCAGGAAGTAGGAGAGAGTATTTCAGCTACCTTATTCTCCCCCTTCCCTTATTGAGTGACAAGTCTGCATTCACCCCACCACCTCCTTCCAACTGCATTCTACCCCCAGCCTTCCAATCCTACTACCCCATACTCTCCCATCTGCCTCCAGGGTAGACCTCACAGCACAGCCCTTGTTCTCCACAGGTTATCATTTTCGAAGAGACGATGTCAGGTTCCATGGTACAGTCTACTGATGTCCCCCACCTGGGCAGGAACCAGTATGTTAACTGAACAGCAGCCCCAGCAGCCCCTGCTTCGGTTGACAGCTTCCTTCCTTCCTCTCCTTCAGGAGAAGTCATCATAACTAGCAGCCTCAGGGAATGAAGGGCTATAGTCAACTCAGGCCAAAATCCTAAGCCTGAGGGGACTGAAGAGAAGATGGGGTAGCACTGTCTGGATACACTCACAGTGAGATGTCTCCTCTTCTGGTTTTGTGGACAGGCACTTTCTGCTCCTCTGATCTTTCAGGGGAGGCCATAGGGCCGTCTCTGAGGGTGGAGTATGTAGTCATATCACCTTCGAAGAAGGTGCTGAACCTGGGTGGATACTGTCCTCTTCTGGAAGTGAAAGCTTCACTGGTCAGCATGCTGGTTCTAGGTAGGCTTTTTGAACATTCCCAGCAGGATATAGCCACATCTTAGATAGTCTCTTTGTGCTCCTGAATCTGTGGGTTTGTCATTGTTTGTAGAGCCAAGAGAAAAGGGGGTCTTACATGAGTCAACTTTATTTTTTGACTTTGCATTTGCCAGTTCTGGGGATCTAGAAGAAACATGTCTTTTCCTTTTCACTCTGTCTCTTACTGCATGAATAAGTTGGTAAAACGAGCCTAAGAGAAACAGGTGTTCTCAGTAGTTAGCTCCCATGTTAAGAGTTCGGCATTTCAGAAGAAACCACCTCACACCCATGCTCTCAGGGAAGGAATGGCGGAAGGCCCAGCTAGGTGGTACTGGGCAGCTGTGCCCCACTGCAGTAGATTCTGGGGTTAGCTACAGCCCACAGGTCTAGCACTGTCCTTGTTTCTAACTCAGTAATTCTTTGAACACTCTCCTTCCCCTTCCTGACCAAACAGCAGGGAGGAGGAAAGGCAGTCTTCTGCCACACTGTCTTAGTCCAGATTGAAGGAGCTTGTTCAAGGAATCAAGTGCAATGGCTTGGGTTGGGCTAGCCATTCTAAATTGCAATACATTCGAAGCAAACCTTCTTTGTGGAGGTCTGCAGCTTGTCTGTGCCACTCTCAGCCATGGGAGAAGGTTACCCTTAAGGTTCCAGATACTGATGGTACCCAGTTGGCAGGTGACACATGCCACTGGCTTCTTAACACCTTTTTTTTTTTTAATTTCAATTCTCCTTGAAATGTCATTGCATTAAGAGCAGTCCAATATCATGCTGGTAGTTAAGAGTAAGAACTTTATAGAAAAAGCTAAACCACAATATATCAGTTAGCTATAGGAGATAGTTTTTCTTAATAAATTACATCTGACATGTACTGCTCTAAGTAATAGTGAAAATCAAATACTACACATCTGTGAGCACAGTGACCACACAGAAGCCCAGTGAAGATGAGTTAGGCAAGAACAGACCAATGGAGAGGCTTACAGACTGTCAGGATGGCTCCCTGAGTAAGGCCAAGAACACTAGTCAGGGCTACTGCAGCCACTGAGCTAAGCGCCCAGCTAACTTACTTGTGAGTGGTCATAGAGGCATAACCCATGTCCCACTGGTTCTGAGAAATTGAGGTTGTGTCTGTCTGTCTGTCTGTCTCTTTTTTCTCTGTCTCTAAGATAGGGTCATAATATAATAGCCCAGACCGGCCTTGATCTTTTGATTCTCTTGCCTTAGCTTCCCAACTTCTGAGATTACAGGCTTGTACCATCATGCCCAACTCAAAGGAACCTTTTTTAAAAAGCCTTTTATTTGTCTTAAAGTTTTAAAATAAAATTACATGATAATTATTTGTGTTTGTGTCGTGGGATGTTAGGTGTATGAGAGCCATGATGCGATGCATGACTGTTCAGAGGGCAGCCTGTGGGAGTTGGTTCTCTCCTTGTGCCCTGGGGAACAAACTCAGATTGCCAGGGTTGGTAGAAAGTGCCTTTACCCACTGAACTATCCTACTCCCCCTCAAAGGAAGTCTTTCAAAGTGAAGCTTGTAGGTGGTGCCTAAAGAACAAGACCTACCAAGCCCCCGATCTTACCTACTCTTGCCAGTTCCTTCTGAGATGCTTGGAATAGCAAGCATCCAGCTAAGATGCAGAAGAGTCCAGGGCTACTTGAGCAGGGCCAGAGCCAGAGAGCAGTGCCATATTGTCACTTTGTCTTGCATTACATAAGAGCAGGTTTCTGCAAAGCTGAATTAAGCAGGGCTGTGCTGGGAAGTGTGACAGGCAGTCAGAATATAAAGGAATCTTACATAGCATCCTTCTGTAAAGGAGTGAAGAAGCCTTGGAGTAGGTTTTATGCATACACGATTAGGTATGCATCCAGATAAGGTCTTTCTGTAGCAACATTTTTCTCTACCTCTCTAGCATGTGCAGCCGAGCTTAGCTCTACAGAATTGACTATTTCTTGCAGGTCCTGTGGACCACATACCTGATCTCAGCCCCTCCAGAGTTCCTCTTTCCAATGTCCAATTGTTCTGAGACTCTGGTCACTCACTCTCCCTTCCCTGTGTCTATTCACTGTGTGGGACTACACCTGTGGGATCTTGATACCAACATCCTCCAGTGTCGGTTCCCATCCACACGGCAGGCACACAGACAGCTGGTCCTCACTGTCTATGGCATGTGTGTGACCAGGTCAGAAACAGAACTTCACTTTCCCTCATGTGACCTCCCCTGAACTCTGTTCAGTATAAACAAATGGAAATTCTGTTTTGTGTCCCAGATGATTTTGGCTCTTTTCTCTTCATTCCACACACAACCCCTTCTTAAGCTTGGTGTGCAGCCGCTTCTCTCTGCCCTCATCCAATTCACCATCATCTTCTACCTGGTATAGCTCAGGGACTGCCTCCCCAGTCCTCTAGCTTGGTCTACTTGTCCTCTGCACTGGAAGCAAAGTGGCTCTTCTTGAAGGCCAGTTCCATCAGTGGATTCCAATTTCACTTAGAGTAGAAACCAAAAGCTTTATCCTAGTATTGGAGGCCAACCAATCCTAGGCTTTCTTCCTACCATGCCACCCTACCCCCACCCTTCACTGGCCTGATCAGTTGCAGTCACACTGCTCTTTTTGCTGGGCCATATGTATGGGGAGAACTCTGCAGTTGGGGACACTTCTCTTCTATCAGGATTGTCTGCCTCAGCTGCATGTCGGCATGCTGCTGTTTGGTTCCTTGTCCCTTTCTCCCCATGCTTCATGGAACCCCAGGTCCCCTCACTGCTACCTCCCATCATTCCCAGCAGCTTTGCTCTTCTCCCTAAAACACCTCACACCTGAGATGGTGCATCATTATCATGGTGTCCTGTATTTGGTGGGTAAGTCCCATGAAGACTGCTACATGCTGGGTCCTTGAAGAATGCCTATTTATAGCAGGCATCTGGTAAATATTTGTTGGACAGTTAAATTAATAAATGAGAATAAAATAAGACAGGGCTGAAGAGGATTACAACTGTTAAAAACCATATTTGACTTTTAATTTTGAAAACAAATTAAATACAGTTAAATAAAAACAGACCAGATGGCACAGCAGCTTGGGCTCCACCCTTATACCAGTTTCTACCCATGGAGCTCCTGAACCCCTGGCTTAACTCCTCTGTGGTGGGGCTTTCCAGCAAGGGAGCAGGGGACAGCCTGGGTTTGGAGGGCAAGTTGTCATCATGGACCCAGTTCTGATTTGCAACAAACTCATTCCCAACAGAGATGAAGGCCGCAGTCCACCAGGGTTGTAATTTTAAATAAATACACGTGCAGCTAAGAGAGGACATTATGTGAAAACAACTGAAGTAGCATCTGCCAAAAAGTACAAAATAAAAATCCCCATTTTGTTTTTTTGTTTTGTTTTCAGTTTCCTAAAAAGAGCACTGAGTTTGGCTAAGAAGGCAGCCTCAGCAGCTCCTTTGACCTTGGCATTCACTGACAAACTGTTTCTATGAATGAGCAATAGGGTGCCCAGACATAAATTCACCCATTGGATAGAGTCCCTGTGCCCCTCATTTGATGCCAAGGGGTAAGTTTCCAAAACAATATCCAAAATATAAATGATCAGGGGAAGATGTCCTACAGGGTGGCTGTGGGATCTGAACCCATCAGGTGGTTTCCTGAAGGCTGTGAGAAGTTAAATCCATTTTAAAATAGGCAGCTGATGCTATTCTCTGAAAGTTAGATGTGTAGACTGAGACTCATCTACCCAAGAGTGGATTCTGAATGACTCTCGGGCCTGTCCTGTGAGTTTTAATGGAGGGGGGAGCGGTTAGCAGTTAAAAAATAAACGCCTCTTCAGTGGGCTTGCGTCCATTTCTTTTCCCCACGTTGGAGGAAAATTGTGCTTCCAACTTGTAGGAGCTGGAGTGAGATGGCCACCAGAGGGCCCCATGCAGCCAGGACCAGGGGCCTCTGGGTGCTGAACACCCAGGCAGATGCTTCTCTTGGGCAGGTGGGTAGGTGCAACAGCGTGAGCATACTGTTCTGTCTGGGGTGGAGAAGGGGCAGTGGGCATGAGGCGGGCTGGCTGTGCAAGCTTCCTCATTTTGTGTAAGATAGAGTGATTTCCAAAGCAGTATGTGCTCAGGTCTCCCTTTCAGTGTTCAGACATTTCCTGCTCTTGACCTTGAGCCCATGCTAATGCACCCCTCATACAAACGGCTCAGGAAAGGGCTGGGGTTGCTGGGCCTCACACTTTTTCAGGAAGAGCTCTGCCTGTTTATTACTGTTATCTCCAGCCCTGAGATCTGTGATTCTCAGTGGTTTCAGGAAGAGGGCAATCGCCTCCTTAGTCCAAACCCAGCAAGGGGCATTGCAGCCCAGGGGTATTGGAGAGGCAGTGTGGACACTGGGGTGACTTGGTTCTTAATCCAGGTCAATCCATGACCTGTGCTGTCTCTAGGCCCACTACCTTGCCAGTTTTGGCACAGGAGGCTTGAGGGACATGGGTAAAAGCTTTGTTCTCCTACAGCCTGAGGTACAGGGGGAGCTGTAGGTAGGCTCAGGCTCCCCCAATGCAGGGCTGGGTGCCAGGTGGGATCCAAGACAGCCTTATGCCCTGTAAACATGAACCAGAGGAGAGCCAGAGGTATTTCTGATTCGGGAGCAGCTCTGAGGAAGAGCAGGTGTGAAAGGAGTGTTGGGGCATCTTCATGCCCCAGGCCGCTCTCTGGTCTTCGGAATGTCCTGGCTGGGCACATGCTGTATAGTCATGCTGGGCCCAAGAGCAGGGAGCCATGGAGAGCCATGCTACACTCAACAGTGAGGTTTTCTGACCTCCCTCACCCCAGCATTACTCCATGGCACGGTCCACTGCTGATACAGCCCCATCAATACAGGAAGCTTCCAAGGAGGTGTGCTGAGTGCAGGCTTTGCTGGCAACTGGAATCCCCAGCCCTTGGGTCTTTTAAGCCCCTGGCCATGTTGATGTAGAGAACCACGGGTCTGTGCTTAAATTCTCTGTCTTTTATCCTGGCATCAAGCTGGGCTCTTTTGGAAGCCTTCAGAATACACAAGAGGTGTTCCTTAGGAGTTTGCCTCAGAGTGACTATCAGCCATGGGAGAGGATGGAATGCCAAGATCAGGGTCTGAGAAGGAGATTCCTGTGTGGGAAAAGTAGGAACAACAGGAGTGTCAGCTTCGGGAAAGGTGGAGCTGGAACTGCAAGTAGAACAGAATGCTTGATCCTAAGCCCCTAGTGGAGTCCACAGAGCCTCTCTGGATTCCCCTTAGAGACATTTTTGAAAGTCAAGTGGTGGCAATTCTTCTAGTAATATGTGAGGGCAGAAGGTGGGATGGAGCTCTGTAACGAGGCATTCTAAGATGTGCTGGCCAAGGATTTCATGTTAAAGGATGACACCCTGTAGTTTCAGAGACATGGTGTCTGCAGGTGTACGGAGGCAAAAATCAACATATTTGTCTGCTATGAGCCCCTGGATCTGTGGTGGGTCTGGAGTAGCAAATCCTGGAACAGTGCTTCCAAGAGACAAGAGCACAAAAGGCTCCTCAAAAATACTTTGCCTGGGCAGTCACTTAGCATAAATCTCTTGGGATAATGTGCCACTTTGGGCCAGTTGTTTAGCTTTTCTGATAGCACTGTCACCTCTAAAGCGTAGGTAGATACACTGGCCTAACCCAATGGGATGAAAACAATAAAAAAAAATAAGATCTATTGCGTAGGATTTGTTACATGCCAAAGAGATTGATTTCAGTGTTCTGCACATAGGAAAAAGCCAGGAGCTGAGAAATAACACTAGGCCAGACAGAAAAGTGGTACCCTGGCATAGGAGTGGGCTCTAGGGCTTGTGCTTAGTGAGCCCTTTCACTCGATATTGAACACTACATGGCTTTCTATGGCATGTCCTCATCACAGCTCTGTGTTGGAAGTAATCCACAGAACCCCGTGAACACGTATATTCTGCACCCCACACTGTGGGCCACACCCCATGGCCAGCAGGACAATAACAAGGAAAGAGTGGTACCAGCAGGATTCAGCTCTACACATGGAAGGGGCCAGTTAGTTGTTGGGGACATAATATTTGGCCACACTTCTGCTCACATTGGTCCTGTTCTCCCACAAGACCCAAAGGAAAAGTCCTTGGAGATGGAGGATGTGCCCCAAACTGCTGCCACTTGTCTACTACACTGGCCAGGCTGGCCTTCTCTCCTACCTGCATGTTTAGTTTCAGATCTCCACCGAGGGGTCAGTGAAGCCCTTCTTCCCCTCGTTGACCAGCACTGGCTTCTCTGTTCGTGTATGCCAGACCAGGATCTGCATATCCGGAGACACAAAATAAAGTGCTGTGGGTCCTCGCTGGCTCCCTTCCACACGTGGCAAATATTCTGCGCCCTCCCTTTCCACCTCTGTTCCATCAAGGTTTTTAAACCACTCTTTATTCATCCCCTTTTTCTTGCTGTTTGTATATGTGACACATTAGAAACATCTTCTGAAGGCAAGAAATCTAAAGCTACAGAAAACAGACATATCTCAAGATTTCCCAAGTCTACATGTGTGTATGTACCTGTGTATACATACATTCATACATTTGCAGGCATGCATGTGCTGTGTATATGTGCATGTCTGCAAGTGTGCACCTTCACTGGTGTGTGCATGTGTGTGCTCAGCAGGGGTCATAGACTCTCCTATGGAGACTCAGAAATCCTTGGAATTCCTCAGTGGAAAGCCCTCCCCATTTCCCTGTCTATAATTGTAACCATCTTACTCACAATAAGATACCATCTTGGGTGAGGACTGAAGACAAGCAAACCCTTTTTCCTCCCCTGATCTACAGAAGGTCTAGAGGTGTGTGGGGTGCTTGCATTACCAACTGTCAGTTCTGAAGAGAGTCTTACCTTGGTACAGTTTGCTGCCTTGGGCTCCAGGTCATTGAGAGTGACAAGTTCTCGAAGGAGACTGCTTTCCTGGTAGCCCCCCTTCACACCACGCAGTTTAAAGTAGGCCTGGCTTCGCTGCAAGATGAGTCGGAGGTTGACGGCAAATCCAGCCATATCTATTGCAAAGGGCCGGTGGGGGTCGAAGACTGTCTTCCAGCCAACCACTTTCCCTGCCCCATTCACCCGTGGGGCCTCATACCGAAGGCCACCAACGAAGGCCACAGGCCACACGGACACCCTTCTCGTGCTGCGCATCTACAAGGCGAGAACCTGAGTCAGGATACTTGAATAGGATGAAAACACTACCCATTCCCACAGGAGGTGGATCACTTAATAAGTGTGTAGGTCCCTACCAGCCTGGCCTCCAGACCTACTACTGATTTCTAGAGGAACCCCTAGAGGATTCTGACCCAGGCTGCATGCAAGGCATCTCTCAGCCAAGATGTTGCTTATCTTATCAGTACAGCCCAATAGTCTTTTCTCCCTTGTACAAGGTCTCTCAATATTATCATTTTAAAATTTGAAATGAACTTCCCTCTTTAAAACTTAATCGAGATGATCAAACTGGCTACCTAAGAGGATTCTGGTGGCCATGTTAAATGACCCCACAAAAAGGTATCTTTCAGAGAACAAAACCTAGTCTAGTCTAGCCTGGACTAGGATATGGGAGCTATAAGCCTCAAGTCATCCTTTTAACGGGCTGGGTTGCTTTAACCTGTAAGGAGGTTTTTCCATTTCTTTATCTGGTTCTCTGCAGCGTGCAGTGAGTCCGGCTTAGGGCTCCCTGTATTTGTCAATGCATGCCACATTGTTCCCTCATGGGCACTATCCTCTGCTCTTATCTTGGTATGGTTCCCACATCCATCAGTTTCCTGGAGCCCCACCTGCTTCTCTCCCTCCTCTGGGCCCTAGCGCACCTCTTCAAAGAGCTCCAGACTGTACGTGTTGTCATCATCCGCGAAGTACACTACGCCTGGCTGAGTAGAGTTCCGTGGGAAGGTCTCCCGCAGCCAGCGCAGGGCCAGGTTGCGCTGCATGGTGCCACGTGGGATGCGAGGGTCTCGGGCATCACCTCGCAGCTTGTAGTTGCGTGGTGTCTCTACGTGCAGGTGTGTGTAGTTGAGACCAGTGTCGCGCAGCAGGCGCGCTGTGAGGGGCGTCCTGCGTGGAGCATCCTCCACCACCAGCCAGTGAAGGTTGGGCACATGCAATAGTGTGTTGGCCATTCGCGTCAGCTCTGCCTTCTGCACCGGTCTACTGTAGGTGGGTGTCACCACATGGATGGTGGGTAGCGTGTCGGACCACGGTGGCGGCCTTGTGTACACGTACTCTGTGCGCACCACCTCCACGATGTCACGGTCGGACATGCAGTACTCCCTAGGGTCTGTACCGGGTGGTGACTCATGGCGGGGGTCACTTCCCTCATCTGCAGAGGTGGGAGAAGGCGGTGCGGGGAGGGAGGGGACGAGGGCGCTGGCCTGGCTCTGATATAGGGCTTTCAAAGTCACCCACCCTTCCAAAACAGTCCCTGTTCTCTGCCCCTCTGAAGAACCAACATAAGGGCCTGCCTTCTTGCTTCCATCTTTAGACCTGAGGTTCGAACCTATGGACCTGGAACTCTGATGAGACTGTTCATAGTTTAGATTCTGGGATGACCCAGAAAAGACCCCTTCATCATACTTCGCATGTGTGTAGCTATTTGAATGCACCTGGCCACCTTCCAGTCATCTATCTCTAATGCATTAGATTCTAAATGAAAAAAAAATGTCGTGACTCTCATCTCCAGGGTCTCCTCCCCACATGGCAAAACTGACCACATAGCAGAGATGAACAGCTATGTTCTGCAGTGTGGATTCCACAAAGCCAGAAAGTGGTGGGAGTGGGTGGCTACGGCACAATTTGGATCTCAAAGGGAACATAAGGTTTCCCACAAATGCTCTAGTCAAGTGGGGTTTCTCTCTTCTGTCTTATGCAGCAGTTCTTTAGACTTGGGTACATAGTATAGGATTTGACTACTGCATTTGGTTCTAGTGGATTTTACTCTTAGCTGTCAATACAGTTTTGCATCCTGAATGCCATTTGAGTTTAGGTGTTCTTCCTTCTTTTATAGACACTTGCTTAGGTTTTCCATTAGTCTGATGTCTACCTCCCAATTCCTACGTTCTAGACACATTCCTTTGTCTCTCTGGACCTATGAACAGCTCTTTTGTCCTGGTGTCCACCTATTGCTTCGCATCTACACCCCAAGGATACCAGGAGGGATAATGGTACTGCAGAAGCCTGTCCTTCTGGACACATAGACACAGACAGGGAGGCAGCAATTACTTTCTTAATTTTTCAAAAGTGATCTGTTCCAAATTGGGCAGCTCTGAAGATTTCTTATATCTGGACCATCTTCTTAGGTGGGGAAGCTGGCAGGTGTACTAGAAGGAGCAATCAAGGCTGTTGGTGTTCCTGCTTTCAAGCCCTGGATCTCCAAGTGATGCTTTTGGATTTGAAGGATTCATGAGTCAAATACATTCACTGCTCACGTGTATCTCAGTAGGAGTGTTAATAGTTAGAGGGCAGACTTGGAAACTTAGGCTCAGATCCTGCTGTCTGCTGTGACAAACTGTGAGGTTTAGAACTAGGTTCTTAGTTTCTGGTGCCTTGATTTCAGTGTCCACAGAATGTAGCTAATAATATCAACTAATGCTAATAGCATCTGTTTGATGGAGTTATTGTATAGCTAACAACACATATCAGGGCTTGGGTTACTACTAAGCACAGTCACTATCAACTCCCATATAGGACTCTAGCTGACCTGCTTCCTTGTGGCTCCATGTATTTATGGTAAGGATGATTGGAGCAAGCCACACGAAAGGTCCCGAACACGGACACAGAGAGGATGCTGGGCCACGACCCGCCCCGTTCTCTCCTACTGTTCTTCCATCACCATTAGCAGCAGGTCATTTTGCAAAAGTGGAGTCCAATGCAAACGAGCCCAAGTGATCCACTTTGTTTCCTAGGGAGTGCAGACAAGCTAATGTCTGAAGGGACATGATACCCAGGCTGCAGATCAAATGCTGAGTGAGTGTGGGAGGGGTCAGGGAGACTGGCAGAGATGTAGCTCACTGACAGGGAGTTTGGGGTTAAATTGAAAAGAAACAATGTTGAAGAAAAGCTATAATGTCCAGGATATTCTGAGCAGGATATAAGAATTCATTTATCTGGTAGTCAATAATATTTTGGAAACTGGGTTTGAGGGTGAAGACTTAGGGCCATTTTGTACAGCCTTCTGCTATCCAGATCATCCTAGACAGGCAGAAGTCCGTGGAAGTTCTCCATGTGTCAGGGCTTGACTGAAACCTGCACTCCATCCTTCACCCTGGCTTCAGGGATTTTGCAACTCTGAATCCTCAAAGGCTCTTGATGTCATGTCTCTAACCCTCACTCTGCCAAGAGGACAACAGACGTTACGTCATTTTATATATGGTAGTTTTAACTCCTCTGGAATGATGTATTCACAGGATAACCGTGATTCTAAACTGACAAGCCCCAAAGAGAGACACTGGGTTGTGAGCAGGGGCTGACATCATGCTGAGGACCACAGTGCCCAGCAAGGACAGTGGGGCTGCAGCAGGAAGACTGTGGAATTGCAGGGAGGTTGAAGGACTGACTGTATTTTATGGTGGACAGCAGAGCATGGGTTGAGACCTGCACACTGTTGCAGCCAAATCAGTTGAGGTCTCTGACTATAGTGGCTTCTCAGGTCTTACCACAGAGAATCCATCTGTTACAGGAAGGGCTTGGGCACCTTCCTTTTTCCTGTTCCCAGGAAAGATGGTACACATTGCAGTGGAAGAACATGCTGCCTGTCTGAGTCCCAGCTAGGTGGAGCAGAGGGTGGCATTAGTCATACTAAAAGAGAAGTAGCTAGATGTGGGAGGCAAGGAAGGTTGGAGGGTGGAGACTTGAGTGTGAGTAAAAAAAGGTGTCTCAAGACTCATAGCTAGAAGAACGTTATTCTAATCCCAGCTTTTCTGCTTGCTCTTGGGAAGATGCTTCCTTGCTTCAGGTTTTTACCCAGTTTAGTCTTCTAACCAGGAAACTTGAAAGGTTTTGCAACACAATACAAGCAGGGGTGTAGCTCTACAGGTATAGCACTTACCTACCATGCAGTAAGCCTTGGGTTGTCTCTCCACAGTTCAAAATTAAAGCAAACCCCAAACATTCCCTCAAACCACAATAAAGGCCAGGACTCTGGACCTTCCTTGCTACCCCTCTTGCATGGCTCATCCTTGCACACTATGGAACTGGGTATGCATGTTTGTGTGCATGTTAATCTGATTTGTTTTAATTGTTTAAAATTTGACACTACTTTGACAATTCAGAGCTTTATGGACTTCAGAAAGGACTGCCTTTCCTATTGGTACCTTTGTTTCTAGAAATAGTAAACAACTGACCACATTCCTGCTTCTCCATCACACTACCCACAGCCAATCTTCCTCTGGCCTTAAATCACCCAAGACCCAAATACTGGACAGGTGAAACCATGCTAATATCCAAAGGCCCACAGAAATCATCCAATTGATCCACTTTTGAACCCAGTGGGTGCTGGTAATCTCAACACTGAAGAGGCAGAGGCAGGAGAATTACCATGAGTTTGAAGTTAGTCTGGGCTACATAGTGAATACTCGGCCAGTTAGACCTATATAGTAATATAGCTGTCTCAAGAAAGGAAAATCTGACTAAACCAAACCATCTGCTTCTGAGCCTGCTTAGCTTCTTCTGTGACTTTTCTCTATCTGAAACGATCACATTATAGGCTTTGTCCTAGCTTGCTTCACCCCCTCTGCCTCCTAACTAAAGCCACAGTGCTTCCTCATGATGCCTCATATATCATGGCATACCCACTCCTCTTGGATACTGAAACTCATACTTGATTATAATAAATCCCAGGTACTTAAAACAATGTGTGTGGGGAGATGGGGGGACAGAAAGAAGAGGAGCAGGGAGAAGAGCAGGAGGAGGCTTTCAGTGGAGTCTTAGAGGGCCCCAAATTCCCCCAAGGTAAGATCCGGGCCCAGATGTAAAAAGCATGATAGGAGGGTAGCTTTTATTACCAAAGCCAGGCCAGGGTGGGGGTGGGGGTGGGCTCACCCTTGTGCACAGCAAGCAGAGGTGCGAGGCTGCTCTGGTGCCAGACGGTGATGAGCAGTGTCCAGGGAAGCACAATGAGGACTATCGCAAGGATGTCCCGTCTCTTCGGCATCTCCAAGGCTGGCTGCACCCACAGATCCTCATTACCTGAGCGGTGGCAAGGTCAGGGGAGGGTGGCCACGGAGCGCCGGCAGCACAAAGAAGAAAAGAATAGGCATGGGCCGGCCGGCCAGGCACAGGGAGGCAGAAGCCGAACACTGGCCAGTAACTCTCACCAGCGCTCACACCCACCCATTGCGGAAGCAGGTTTGCAGAGTCCAGCCTGATGGGAATCTGTGAAGGGACAGTAGTCCAGGGCAGGGTCAGGAACCTTCAGAGGCTGATACCTGAAAGATAGAGCAGTGGTGGATGAGCCAGAAATGTGGACATGGAGTGCAGAGGTTGTCCTACTCCAGACCCACAGCATCCAGTGTTTCTCAATGGACCATCCATCTTCCCAGAGCCTTTTCTGTATAGCTGTCTGGGTGAGTGAGCCTGTGTCCTTCCCTTGAGAAGCAGACACATACAAGAGCAGTAGGATGCAGTGCTTAAAGACACAGATTTCAGAGACATCTGCCATGGTTTAATCCTAACAGACCTGAGGAGAAGCTGTGGCTTTTGGCCAATTACATCAACTCTGTACTAGTTTCTAAGCTATTGATCAGTCACCTGCTTTCCAAAGCTGCTCTCACAATTGAATGAGTTAATTCTCAGAAAGCACCCAGGGTAGTCCCTGATAGAAATGTACCAGAAACTTTGGCTGCTATGCTGTTCATATTAGCATAGGTGGTTTCTTCATAGCTTTGGCCCAGTGTCATACTTAGGATAAACAGAGATGGATAGGGTTGGATACCACAAGGGAAGACCCTTAAGTGCCCTCCTCTATTTATGTCTGCAGGGAATTCTTATGGGCACCTTCTTATCATAGGATGAGCCTCAAGTCAGAGTTGAGCATCAGCAGGAGGAGAGCTGTTCTCTGGGGAGCTGTCAGGTAGTAGGGAGACAAATAATGGCAGCTTCGAGAGCCTGAAGAAAGACCCTTGCTATAGAACAACCCTATGGGCTTCACTTCTGGTTCTGCAGAGCATCTGCTGGTGATACTTCTTTGGGACCTGGTCTCCCATGTGATAGGACTGTAAGTGTGGCTTGCTCATAGCTCCCTTGGGGATGGTCACATCCTTTCCTCCTCTTTCTCCTCCCCTTCCTGGGCAGACACTGCTTGGTTCATGGTTGGTAGGAGCACTTGGCACTCTGGTTGGACCTCAACATGTTCATCCTATTAGAGCCTATTATTACATGGTAGACAGTCATTCCAGAGCCCATATTGTCTGCCCCACTCAGCCCACATGTGCTCTTGGTCTTTGCCAATGTTGAGAGTCTTGGCCAACCAGACCATTGTGTGACCCAGTTTTGGAAACAGTGTACATTTTTTCTTCTTCTCGGGTCTTCTTTCTACTAGTCTTGATATATTCTAGGAGACCAAGTTTTGCTTTTCTAATTCAGGGCATTATCCTGGGTGAGCCAGCATCCCATGCCCAGCCCTTCTCATGAGAGACTCACAGCTCCAAGAATCAGTGTCAGCTGCCCCCACATCACTCCTTAGGGAATGAAACCAGAAGGTAAATGTCCAGTGCTCTCTTCAGCTCCCCCAGGGATCTAGTCTCTCCCCTCTGAAATGAAAGTTGAGATTTGTCTTGGGGCAGTGTTGGGAGGCAAGGCCTGTAAGATATGATTGTGTCCTTGAGAGGGATGAATGCCTTTCTCACTCCTTTGAGAGCAAGTTATTCTAAAGCAGAGCCACCTCTTATGCCTCTCTCTTCCTTGTTTGTCTACTCTTCCTGTTGCTTTCCTCTATGAGTAGAGGTAGCACACAGCCCTCACTAGACCATGTGTTTGCACTTCAGCTTCCAGAACCACAGAGCAAAAACCTCCTGTCCTTTATAAGCAACTCAGTCTTGGGTATTCTCTTACAGAAACAGACAACAGACTAAGAGAGGGAAGTCAGATCTGGCCAGGGCTTTGAAAATGTCTGCTTCTCAAATGAGCCTGGTTTGGGTGAAGGTTCTGAGTCAGGTTGGGGAAGCAGAAGAAAGAAGGTAGGCATGGCATGGCGTTAGGCTGTGTGGGGTGCTTTTCTATGACTCTCTTTCTGGGCAGCTGCTTGGACCTGTAGCTCATTCAGCCTTTCTTGTATCTGCCTTTGCCACTGCTCATGCTGGCTGTTCTTCAGCATTCATGATGTTCAAGGACAAAGATGGCTGGCACTGTTTACATATGTACTCTGTGCTGTAGTCAAGGCTACCCTGAGAGGCAGGCACTTGTGTGTTTCTATTTGCAGCTGGATTCACTGAAGCAATATGGGTAAGCAATTTGCTCCTGGCCAGAGACAGGAAGTGCCAGGGCCTGAATTACATGGAGGTCACATGGCTCTAAGCTATTACCTGGATAAGTACTGGCTTAAGAGCCACCTTCCTCCAACATAGCTACCTTAACTGTCAATCCCAGTATCTGCTGGATACTGGAACAGGAAGAAGGAACAATGCTATGGGTGTGGTGTTAGGGGCCTGATGCATGTAGGGGTATCTAATTCCATCACATTCTTTTTTGGTCAAAAAAATCTATGAAAGAAAAGGGAGGGAAGGCAGCGAGACAAGCTCTAAAAATAAGCTTAGCAATAAACCCAGTTGTGCATTAATTACTATGGAAGCCATTACAGCTTGAAAACCCCATAACTTTAATGGAGGCTATTATAAGCATAGTGGCAAAATCGTGGAGCTAATTACCAGGCGGTTATTAAGTAGAGCAGAGAGCACCCCCAGACTTGGAGAACACCATCTGGCCAGCAGGGGATGGATCCACTGGCAATAGTGCCTGGCTGTGGGCAGGAGATCAGGCCTGGTCCTACTTTGGCCTTTCAGACCAGCATGATTTGTCACATGTAGACTATGGTTTCGGTCTAGGTTCGTTGGAATGTGGGGATTGCCTGTGGCATCCACATGGTTCTCAGAATGGCTTCTGGGACCTTGGATGGGGTAGGCAGAAGAACCAACAGAAAGCTTGGAGAAGGCAGGAGGCAAGGTGGATAGAATAGGGTGTTTGAAAAATAAGCAGCACTTGAAAGGGACTTTATGGTGGGATAGGACATGTCTGTGGGGGTCAGGTAGCAGCTGAGGGTCTGCTATGTTCATGATTCTAATGCTTTGCTCACATACCTGCTCATTACTGACCCCAGTGACTGCTGGCTTCTCTTACCAGCAAGTGTAGACACAAGGAACATCCACTCGCCTGGTATTCTCTAAGCATCCCACAAACAGGGACAAAGTCTATATTGTGGGTACAATGGGTAAAGCTCAGTGAGGAATGGCCACTGGATGAGAAGCAAGACCAGGACAGTGACAGGACAGACCCTAGGGGTGACTGTGCTTTCACTGTTCACTTCCCTGATCTCTGCTTTTAGCTTTAAAGCATGACTGTTGACAGGAATAGTTCTAATGAATTTTCAGTACTGCGGTTTTAACAACCTGAAGCTGTGATGACTGGGACCTATGAGGATTAAGACATGTCCTACACGAGGCAAGAGAGGTCTGGGTGTGTCAGCCCAGACTCAGTTTCAGAGGGCCACCATTGCAGCTTCCTATGAAACTGAGTCCCACTGAAAGCCATACACACTTGGAGATAGACACAGTTGGGGAGAGCTAGTCACAGGGTTTTTTTCTGCAGGCTTCAAAGAGCTGTGGTCTACAGATGAAAAGTGGGGGTGTCTGGGGATCAAAATAAAGCACTCTATCATCCAAGGCTGGAGGAGAAGTTAGGCTAGACAGACTAGTAATTGCTTGCCCAAGAGGGTAGAGTAGTGTGTAAGGGGGCCTCAATGCTGGCCAATTCTACAGAGACAGAAAGGGTTTCTTCTGAGCCCACGGGTATTTAAACAGTGTTCCTGGCACTGAAGATGGGCTTATTGATCTCCACTTGAAAATTATTAATTGCGCGTTAAGGCTTTATGCCCAGTAATTCTGTATGTAGTTAGCTTCTCAATTAGAGGATCCATGAAGATGTGTCTTCCGGATTATGCAGTGTAGTGTTATTCTCAGTGAGATAATTCTTGCCTAGTATGTGTGAGTTCCTAGGCTCAACTGCCAGCATCATAAAACAACCAACCAACCAAACAAAACAACCACCACCCCATAAAACACTTTTCATCCACATTCAGAAGAATGTGGAACACACTGGGGAGCCTGGGAGCTGACAGAGGCTACTAAAGTCCTTTCTATAGATCAGAGTCAGCTTCTCAGGAGGTATTGGAACTGGGGACTCTGGTGACTGGGGAGGTTCTTGGCCATAAATGAGAGGAGGGCCAAAAAGAAGGATGAGGTAAATTGTGAAGAGTAAGTTGGTGGCGAGGTATTGACCCCAACCCTGGCATCTCTCTTCTCTACACAGGGCCTCTCCATAGAAACAGAGGCACAGACTTTGTCCCAGAGATCTACAGGAGTCCCTAATGGGATCAAGGGATTAGTATTGATTCTGCAGGCACTGCTCAGGAAAAGCCCAATGCCAGAGCTAATCAGCTTGCAGCCCAGTCAATCCATACTTCATTAACCCAGCCCTAGCCCTTCAGCCACAGCAATGTGGCTACACAGTTTCTTCTGGGAGGCAGGGCATGGACATTGACTGCTCCTGGTATGACAATCCCTTAAATACACAGGCGCATGTAGAGCCTGCTGTTCTTTACTCATATAAGGAGGAGGGGGAAGGGGTTTTCTAAGAATTCCACTCTGAATCCTATTTTGACACATGGGCACTTTTGTAAAGCTAAGCCTTTTGATGGTCAAGACAGCTCTGGATGGTAGACCTTGTCCCCACCTTCATAGGAGGACATGAGAGCTTACGGAAGCTCCCTCATATCTGCAGAATCTCAGTGTTAAAATGTAGATGAGGCTGTGGACCTTGACCTGTTCCCTTCAATATCCATTTCACCTTCTTTATATGGGTTCTTCTGGGTCTTGGTTTCTGGCTCTTCTGGTCCATCTTTGGACCACTCACTGGAGATTTCTGCTTCAGGAAGATGCTATATGGCTTCCAAGGCTACAGGGATTCTTTATCCTACCTGGATGCTGCCTGAAGAGAGGAAGGACCAGACCAAGAAATGACATTGCCTTCCTTTGTGGTCTAGCCCCTGCTGCTGGGCATTTGTAGTACTTATGTGGGTCTGATCTCCCATCATCGTGCCTCCTTCCAGCTGGGAAACCAAGCGAAGGACTCAAGGAGAAGGGGCATTGTATCACTCCAGATTTGGTATGAAGAAACGTTTTCTTTTCTTCCAGCCTAACACTGTCAAAACCCACAT